GAAGGTCTTGTGAGGAGCAAAGAGAGCGGGTTGGGTGGTATTTGGGTATCAGGTCGGTGAGGTAGTTCGGGGCAGTGTTATGAATGGCTTTGTACGTCAGTGTTAGTAGTTTGAATTTAATGCGTTGGGCAATCGGAAGCCAGTGGAGGGAATGACAGAGGGGGGTGGCAGATGCGGAGCAGTTGGTAAGGTGGATGAGTCTGGCCGCTGAGCTCAGGATAGACTGAAGCGGGGATAGCCTGTGTTGGGGTAGGCCGGTGAGGAGGGAGTTGCAATAGTCGAGTCGTGAGATAATAAGGGAGTGAATGAGTTGTTTAGTAGTGTCTGGGGTTAGGAACGAGCGTATTTTGGAGATGTTGCGGAGGTGGAGCCTGCATGAGTTTGCCAGCGATTGGACATGGGGTTGAAGGACAGGTTTGAGTCTAGAGTGACACCTAGGACTTTGGCTTGCGGAATGGGAATGAAGGTGGGGGTGGGGGCGTGGGCTGGGGGAAAATTAGGAGCTCGGTTTTGGAAATGTTTAATTTGAGAAAGTGGAGTGACATCCAGTCTGAAATATTGTTCAGTAGGTGGGTGATACGGGCGGAGACTGAGGGGGTGAGGTGAGGGGTGGAGATGTAGATTTGTGTGTCATCGGTGTAGAGATGGTAGTTGAAGCTGTGGGAGTGAGCCTTGGGGAACCCCAACAGAGAGGGGGAGAGAGGGGGAGGTGGTAGCGTTATAGGTAATGCTGAAGGAGCGTTGGGATAGATAGGAGGAGATCCAGGAGAGAGCGGAGTCTCTGATGCCAAGGGAGTGTAGTTTATTAAGAAGGAGGGGGTGGTCAACTGTGTCGAAGGCCGCGGAGAGGTCGAGGAGTAAAAGGACTGAGTAGTGGCCATTAGCTTTGGCGGTTAGCAGATCATTAGTGATTTTGAGTAGGGCAGTTTCGGTGGAGTGTAGGGGATGGAAGCCAGACTGTAGTGGATCAAGGAGGTTGTTGTCAGTGAGGTGGGAGCTTAGGCGATTGTAGACTAAGCGCTCAAGGAGCTTGGATGTAAATGGCAGCAGGGAGATGGGTCTAAGGTTTCTCAGGTCGGAGGGGTCCAGGAGGGTTTTTTGAGTATGGGGGTGATGTGCGCATGCTATAGGGGGGAGGAAAATGCGCCAGTAGAGAGGGGAGAGATTGAAGATGTGGGTGAGGGAGTGTAGGATGGAGGAGGAGGGTGACCAGGGGAGTTGTGTGGGGACAGGGTCAAGGGGGCAAGTGGTGAGGCGGGCTTCTGTGAAGACCTTGGTGACCTCTTTGGTGGTAGCAGGGCTGAAGGAGTGGAGTGTTGGGGAGGCTTTAGTGTACAGGATGTTAGGTGTAGTGGGGGTCAGGGCGATTGCGAGGTCAGAGGAGGGGAGAGTTGTGGGGGTTATATTGGGAGGGAGGCTAGGTGGGGAGTCACAGATCTAGCAGTACACTGCAGCAAGGAGTAACAGGACCAATAGGATAGCTGCTAAATTCTAATTAGTGGTGTTAGTGGTTTTTAGACGAGGAAAACCCTCACTAAAAGGCAAGAACATGTATTTTCCCTAAGCACAGCTTCATTTCCCCTTAGAGGTCTTCTCCTCACCCCATCCCTGTGAATGGACAGTGAAAAGAGAAGCAGCACACTAATTAACTCATCTCTCCTCCTATCAGCAGGCCCCTAGTACAGCAACACACCTGATTGGCTCCTGGTCCTGCTTCTCCCTTCACTGAACCCTGCTGTACAAATTGAAAGAAAGAGACTGTTGCCAGGTTAAAATCAGGTAAATGGATGTAAATTGCAAATAGAGCTAAAAGATGAAGTCAAGCTTGCATTACTTGTCTTCTGGTAAGGTATATCGGTTGACAGGTGCCTTAATATTTAGACCACTTATGAAGTTTGGCAAGGCACGAGTTCACATTACAGGAGTAATAGCTGATCTTGTAGTGGCAGCAGAATCCTGGAGCACTTTATTTGATTTATTTAGCCTACACCACCTTTTGATTTGGTAAGGTACATGGATTGACAGGAAGCACACCTGATTGGTTGCACTGTATGGTCACTATTTATAGTGTGGTGTGGCACATACCGTGTATGAGGAGTGTGGAGCATTAAGCTATTGTTCACTAATTTTGGTTAGAAGAGGTATTTATAAAAGTGATCTCGGGGATATGGATTGTGATTCACACGCACTTATAATATTTGCATTTAAGGATAATGCACTATGTTGAGTTTATTTGTTTCGAGGTACTTTAAATAGAAGAAGACGAATTGAAGGAGCACCAAGTACTGGGGGATTATGTAAAGATTTAATAGGGTGTATGGACTTATATTGATAAAAAACATGTATTGAACATTTGGTTTATACTCACGGGGATTGACACTGTTATATGTAGGGTGACCAGATACTGTGTATATTTACTCCTGCTCTATTCCATGGTATCTCTCCCTGAATTGTACACATCTAGTGGAATCTTTGTAAGAACTTCCTGTGGACATGTGAACCCTCCAGCGGCAAATTGTACAAAAAAGTGTCAACTACTCCATCCTATGACTAGCCTTTGCAGTAAGGTGCACATGGAAGGGCAACGCACATCACAAACAAAGATTAACCAGCACACGTACCAGCTAGCCTGCAAAAGCAACCAAACTGACCCTGTCTAACAATTCATTTGCAAACATTTGCAAATATATGTGTAAGCCACAGTGCCCATGTCAAGGCTCCTCTGAATACTGCGGCCCTAACCCCCTGGTCACATCAAGCCCAACTGTGAAGTCGTACGATTTCAAAGTCAGGTGAGATGCCAATTTCAGGTGCGACTTGCAAGACATCTAACACAGATGTCTATGCAAATTGGCCCAAAAGTAGTACATGTACTACTTTAGATATAGGTTCGTTTCCAACCAAGTTAGAACCACACTGATTTTACCGCTCTAATTGGGGACGATAGGGTGTGACTTGGCATACCATTTGCAAGTTGCATGGCATGAAAATCGCATGCCAAGTCACACCCGATGTGACGGGGGTGTAACTCTCTGCATTTCAGAGTCTCCCAAACTGGAGCACATATAGCAGTGGATAGATTAAGGGCAGGTGTGCCTGGAGGGAACTCACTTGCCCCCCAGAAAATATACCCCCTTCCTGACCAGGCAGTGTCATTAGTACAGTATACAGTATTATCACAGATCACTGTATTAGTATCACTAGCGACATCTGTATCAGTGTCCCTCCCAGTCAGTGCTTTTTAGTGTCAGAGTGCCCCCCACACTATCACAGTCACTATAAGTTGCTGATCACTGCCATTATTCGTATAGTGTCTATAGCTGCGTAACGTCTGGTATATATATATATATATATATATCATAGTTTTTAGACACTTTGACTTTCACACAAACCAATTAATATACAGTTATTGAGATTTTTTTTACCAAAGCCATGTAGCAGGATACATTTGGACCTATAGTTATAAAGAAATTTTATTTTTTTTAGATATATTTTATAACAGAAAGTAGAAAATATCATTGTCCCAAAGGTATTTCTTTGTTTATATAATAAAAAAAACCCAGTGGTGATCACATACCAAAAAAAGATTTTTGTGTGAAAAAAATGATATAAACTTAATTTGCATACTGTGATACATGACTGCACTGTTTCCAGTTAAAGTAGCACAGTGCTGAATACCAAAAAAACAAAAACATGAAGGGTAAATCCTTCCAGAGGTCAAGTGGTTAATTTCAGATGATAAACAGTAAATGTGACCTGTAGGCAGGGTTGCCAACTATCAGTAAATTTGCTGACAGTTTGTAAAAATCAGAGATTTGTACAAGTGTCTGTAAATATCAGGGGCTGATCATTTTTCGTGTTTGCTGACTGTTGTAAGTGTAGACCAGTCACATTACTTGTTATGGTATTGTCAGTGTTTCCATACTGTGTTTATACAGTTTAACTGTTCCCAACCGCCCTATAGCAGTGCTAGGGCAGCACGGGTGTACAAAATCACTTATATATGTGATTTTGCATTTCCAGGTAAGGGGCATGTGCAAAGCACAGAGTAAAACAACAAACAGCACATAGTTAACCCTGTGATCGCCCCCCCCCGTTAACCCCTTACTGCCCAGTGCCATTAGTACAGTGTCAGTGCTTTTTTTTTTAGCACTGATCACTGTAATATTGTCACTGGGGATGTCAGTGACCCCAAGTCAGTTCCCCCCCAGTGTCAGAATGCCCGCCGCAGTCCTGTTATAAGTTGCTGATCACAGCCATTACTAGTAAAAAAAAACCCCAAATAATAAAAAAAATCCCAGTATGTATACCGCCATTTGTAAATGGTATAACTTTCACGTAAACCAATTAATTTACACATATTGGGATTTTTTTAAGCAAAGACATGTAGCAGAAAACAGTTTGGCCTAAATTTATGACACATTTTTTTATTGGACATGTTTAATAGCAAAAAGTACAAAATATAGGTTTTTTTTTTTCAAAATTGTCGGTCTTTTTTCATTTATAGCGCAAAAAATAAAAAATGCATAGGTGATAAAATACCATTAAAGAAAGCTGTTTGTGGGGAAAAAGGATGTCAATTTCATTTATGTACAGTGTTGCATGACCGCGCAATTGTCAAAGTAATGCAGCCCCATATCGCAAAAAAAGGCCTGGTCAGGAAGAGGGAAATGCTCTGGAGGGAAGTGGTTTTAGGATGTGAGTAATAAATGTACAATGTCCGTGTTTTCTCAGGAAAACATACTGCGGGAGGTTGGCAACACTGTCTGTAGGGAAGAATGAAGAACGTTCCCAGCATCTCCTGTGAGAAGGGTGAGGAGTAGAACGATGAGGAGCTCCGTCTGTATGTGTTACATGTCTCCTCCTACACACCTCTACAATCACCCCGCCTCCAGCCATTTACACATCTCGGCCAATCAGTGTTCCGGGGGGCGGGATTAAACAGACGCCGCGCTTGTAGTAATAAAACGCGGGGACGCAGGGCACGCATGGTTTCGAAGATGGCGACGGCCAATGAGGGTGTTGGTGCCGGCGGTATAAAGAGATCTCACCTCGGGATCCCGGAGGCCGTGTTTGTGGTGAGAGCGCTCAGTACGGACAGATGTGTGCTGTGTGTGGCGGGGATGGGCTTTCCTGTGCCGAGTGCTCCTTGCTAGGCGGCCGCCGGTCTGCTTACCTAGGCGGCCGTGTCCATACATGGCAGAATCCCCGTACTGCGGAGCGGCCCTCCTCCCCTGTACAGCACATGGCAGCGCCCGTCTGCAGTGTTGTGTCTAGGAGGGTGGGCAGTGATGAGCTCGGGCCCTTCGCAGTCTGCTTTATGAATCCTACTAGTGACAGGGTTGTTGCTATGGGTTACTGAGTTGTGCCCATTTCTAGCCCTTACAGGGCAGATGGAAAGCTTCATAGATCATCACATTTCTCTCCTAGAATAAGTGAAAGTGGAGCTCCACCCAAGAGGGGAAGTTGTGCTTAAAACATTGGTCCCCTGCTAAAAGATTGGCACCTTTGGGGAGCACGTACCCCACTTCCACTGCAATCACCTAGGCGGTTGGATTTGGAAGTTGTTGTCCTCCCCTCCTCCCTGCCCATAGTTTTCTCGGACTTGTCACAGGTCCCAGAAGACTACGGGGCCATTCATGCAGTGCTTCTCGTGCATGCGCAGTGGGCACGCGGCTGGGAAGCCGCCAGCTGTCACAGCTGGGTGCCCACACTGAAGATGCCGGCTGGTAATTGGCTGAAGGGAGGACACTGCAGGATCGTGCGACAGCTGAGCGGCTGATTTTTAAAAGTCAGCTGCTACAGTTTTTGTAGCTGCTGACTTTTATTTTTTCACAGTGTGACTGGAACTCTGCTTTAACCGGTCCACACCCGGCCTATGGCCAGATGGCGGCTGGGAGAGCACCTCGTCCCTGTGGGTGGACGCCATATGGCGTCCTTTCAGGCATGCGCAGTTTGCCTGCCAGCAGAGCCGCGCAGTGGCGCGATCTGTCACCAGCCATGTACCTCAGACACGGCCGATGACAGATCTGTGTACCGGCCCTGTTGCAGGTACCATGTGACCAATCACAGCAGGTCACATGACAGTTGTATACAATGGATGGCTTCCTTTCATGCCATGCATTGTATACAAGTGTGGCTAGCTGTGAATGGTCACAGCGATCACATGCACAAGCTGGGCCAATCACAGCCCAGCTGTGTCATGTGATTAGCTGTGGCCAAATCACAGTTGAGCACAAAAAAAAAAAAACCCTGAATGAATCGATTTCATTCAGGTAAATGCTTGCTTATAGCAAAGTAATTCTTTGCTTGTAAAAACGTTAAGATACTTTTTACAAGCCTCAGGTGGCTTTTCTTCTGCAAAAACGCTGCTGCCGGAAGGAAGGCTTCTAGGAGAGGTTTTTTTTAACATCCTCTGTGCATGAGGCCTTAAAATGCTGCAGGATCCTTTTTCCTGTGTGAATGAGCTGCCATGCCCGCACAAACGTGCCTCCTCAAGCCCACAACAGTGTGAACCTAGCCTAAGGCTTGGTTCCTATTGAAGTGGCTCTGCGAGCTGCAAACCTTGCCGGCTGCCGCTTGGTAGTTCAGCCTTACCTGAGAAACCACCGATCCCGGTGCTGGGCATAGAGATGATTGAAGGAAAGATGGCTGCCACACATATCTATGCCCTTGGAGGACCGGAGCAATGTCACTTCCTGTTTCGGCCATTTTTTTATTCATTTATTTTTTTAAAAGCACTAAATCAATGCTTTTTTTGATCCAGTGCTTTACATTGCAGAGGAGAGATAATGGGGTCTTATTGACCCCATATCTCTCCATAAAGAGGACCTGTCACTGATTGTTTCTATCACAAGGGATGCATGCATTTCTTGTGATAAGAATAAAAGTGATTAACATTTTCTTTCAAAGGAACAGTGCGAAAAAAAAAAAAAAAAAAACCCCCATTAACACATTTTTTAAAAAAAAGTTTAAAGTTCCCCTGTGCTCGCACGTAGTGGTGAACGTATATGTAGGCCATGCCCACATAAATGGTGTTCAAACCACACATGTGAGGTATCACCACAAACGTCAGAGCAAGATCAATATTTCACGCACTGGACCTCCTCTGCACCTTTACACTGCTAACCTGTAGAAATGTTTAAAGCATCACCAATGGAGATGAAGTACCGCAGTTTCACGCCATTCCACGAGCGTGCATAATTTTAAAGCGTGACATGTTGGTAATCTATTTACTCGCTGTAACGTCCTCTTTCATATTTTGCAAAAAAAATTGGGGTATATATTGTTTTTTTTTTTTTTTTTTTTCTTTTTAATCTGTGTATTTTTTTCCAAAAAATATATATTAATTTTTAAAAACTGCGCGTTTTCGGTTTTTGCATTTTAAAGTTTTGGTTTCGGCACCAGAATTTTCATTTCGGTGCACCACTAGCAGCCACCACTAAGATAGAATTAAAGCCTCTGTGTTTTTTAGTTTAGTACACTGAGCCCAATAAACAGCCCCCTATGAACTTTTAAACCGTTTAAGATTCCTACCCTAGTACGTGTAGGTTACATCTAGTGCTGCTGACTTCTGTTCTTGGTGTTGCTTTAACTTCTGGCCTTCAGAAGAAAGGTGACTCTATAGGATTCTGAAAGGGAACATGGCCATCCGGAGACAGGAAACCTTCAGCTTAAACTGGAACATAGGCAAGAATTAAAAAAAATGAGGAAGCCGCATACTCAGTAAGTGATTAAATCGGGTGCTAAAAATGCTTACAAGGGAATATCACTTTAACCTCCTTGGCGGTATGATTCCTTCTGATTTTTTGTGCTGTGCTGAAAGCAGTACCATTTTTAGTAAAATTTCCCCACAAATAATTATCACTCAATTCTGTAAGTGGTTCTGATTTACTATCGCTGTTCTCTAGCCGGTCTAAAACCGGTTTTGACGTAAAGGGACGCTTTTTGGACGCCATGGACTTTTCTAAGTTTCCAGGCAGAAAGAACAGACAAAATGCAGGCAGGGCACAGGGCAAAGCACTAGGGACAATATGTATGTGAAATGGGATGAAACAGCAATGTTTTACTATTTAAAATTGGAAAAAAAAATGACATTTTTTAAATTTCCCGCCGCCGGCGGCGCCCGTACGTCCCGACGTCACGGGGACCGGAACACAAAAGCCGGATGCCGGCATCGGCCGGAGGAGATGGCCGGGGACGCTGCAGGGGACACATCGTGGGAACGAAGGACAAGGTAAGTGCTGCAGGGACCCCCAGAGCAGCGCCGCATGGTAAGCCCGAGTGTAGCTCGGGGTTACCGCTTGTGGTATAGAAATTCTACCCCGAGCTACACTCGGGAAAACCGCCAGGGAGGTTAAGGACTAGTAAGCTAAAATGTATGAAATGCTCCTTTTGGGGGTTGGGACTTACTTTAGGAAATAGAGAAAACTACTGTGCTAATCGGGATACAGCAGTAATATGAAGACAATTGTGATCTTTCAGTTTCTGTTCTGTTCTAGGAAGATGTGGATTCATTTATGCAGAAACCTGGAAATGAAACGGCTGATGTAGTGCTTAAGCGATTAGATGAGCAGTATCAAAAGTATAAGTTTATGGAATTAAATCTTTCTCAGAAGAAAAGAAGGTGAGTAGTATGTAACCTTGTGAGCTGCTTTGTATATACACCCTATTTGTTAGCTACTTACTCCCATAGACACTATATTGTCAGAAGTATTGTGATGCCTGCCTTTACATGCACATGAACTTTAATGGCATTCCAGTCTTAGTCCGTAGGGTTCAATATTGAGTTGGCTTACCCTTTGCAGCTATTAACAGCTTCAACTCTTCTGGGAAGGCTTTCCACAAGGTTTAGGAGTGTGTCTATGGGAATGCTTGACCATTCTTCCAGAAGAGCATTTGTGAGGTCAGGTACTGATGTCGGAAGAGAAGGCCTGGCTCGCAGTCTCAACTCTAATTCATCCCAAAGGTGTTCTATCGGGCTGAGGTCAGGACTCTGTGCAGGCCAGTCAAGTTCCTCCACCCCAAGCTTTCTCATCCATGTTTTTATAGACCTTGCTTTGCGCACTGGGGTGCAGTCATATTGGAACAGGAAGGGACCATCCCCAAACTGTTCACACAAAGTTGGGAGCATGAAATTGTCCAAAATGTCTTGTTATGCTGATGCTTTAAGTATTCCCTTCACTGGAACTAGGGGGCCAAGCCCAACCCCTGAAAAACAACCTTACACCATAATTCTCCTCCACCAAACTTTACACTTGGCATAATGCAGTCAGGCAAGTACCGTTCTCCTGGCAACCGCCAAAACCAGACATGTCTATCGGATTGCCAGACAGAGAAGCGTGATTCGTCACTCCAGAGAACACGTCTCCACTGCTCTAAAGTCCAGTGGCAGTGTGCTTTACACCACTGCATCTGATGCTTTACATTGCACTTGGTGTACAGCTTAGATGCAGCTGCTCGGCCATGGAAACCCATTCTATGAAGTGCTCTTTGCACTGTGCTAATCTGAAGGCCTGACAAAGTTCGGGGGTCTTTAGCTATTGACTCTGCAGACAGTGGGCTACTCCTGCGTACTGTGCGCTTTAGCATGTGCTGACACCGCTCTGTCATTTTATATGGCCTACCACTTCGTGGCTGAGTTGCTGTTGTTCCCAGTTGCTTCCACTTTGTTATAATACCACTAACAGTTGACCGTGGAATATTTAGTATCAAGAGAATTTCACAGATGGACTTATTGCACAGGTGGAAACCTATCACAGTACCACGTTTGAACTCACTGAGCTCCTGAGAGAGACCCATTCTTTCAGAAATGTTTGTAGAAGCAGTCTGCATTCCTAGGTGCTTGATTTGATACACCTTTGGCCATGGAGGTGATTGGAACACCTGAATCCAGTGACTTGGAGGGCTGGCCCAATACTTTTGGCAATATAGTGTGTGTATACATAGGCACATGTGGGAATTTAGTGTATATTATTTAGATATGCATGTTTTGATTTGTGCATAATTTTGAAAGTTTATAGAAGTGATTCATGACACGTTATATTTTATTAAAAGGATTACTTGTATTTTTTTTATTTTACATGAAATCTTTTTATATATTTTTTTTTTTTTTTCTTTTTGCAGACTAAAGAGTCAGATCCCAGAAATTAAACAGACGTTAGAAATTTTAAAGCACATGCAAAAGAAAAAGGTAACCTTTGTTTCTTCAAACAATATACTTTTTATATTCTTTTGATTTTAAATGCTTTTTTATTTTTTTTTTTTGTGTGACATAAAAAGTAATCATGCATAGATTGCCATTGAAACCTGAGTTGCTCCAATACAAGATCAGCTGCATACAGTAGGCATGAGGTTGAAACTAACAAGACATCTGACATGGTCGTGAACAGTGTATTGAGTGATAGAAGTTTTCTGGTGGTATGCAGTCCATCTGCTACTATGGAGCAATATGTACAAGGATCACAATTTATGCGGTAGGCAAATCAATCAACTGCTAATTGAAGACCTGGACTCAAGCCTCTTGGATATGTCAGTAGGGTTATTGTAACCCAAAAAGGATATGATGTAGACGAGAGAAGAATATCTTCAACCACTTAATCATAGTGGGGTTGATAGGGAGAGAGAAAAGGGTGGAATGACAGGCTTGGCACTGCATATAGGAATATTTTATAACTGCAGAGCTCTTAACAAGATAAGGGAAAGGAAGGCTGCAGATTGCAGCTGTAATATGGAAAGAAAAATGTACAATTCTACATGTTTTGTTCCTAGAACAAATTTGATAGATGACAGAGCACATACTGAATAGGGGATACTCCTAATGCATCCTTTGCATTTGTCCAAGCTATCTGCTCCTTATTTTTGCTCTAAGGGTCAGTAGATGGGTATAGTTTAAATTAATCATTGCAGCGAAATGACTTCAGTCGACTGCACTCCATTGTGTGCAGCGACATGGGTTGTCTGAGTGTCTTTTCACTGCAAGGCTGTGTGCAGGTTACAGTTGTCATTCTTTATCTACTGTTAGGTTAACAATGATACAGGCAGCATAGTGTTCTCCACAGCTTCTCCAGACCCTTTCATGTCTGTCACATACTCAGGGTGAACCTGCTCTCATCTGTGAGAAGCACAGGGAGCCAGTGGCCGACCAATTCTGGTGTTCTGTAGTAAATGCCAATCGAGCTCTATGGTGCTGAACCGTGAGCACAGGGCCCACTAGAGGATGTCGGGCCCTCAGGCCACCCTCATGAAGTCTGTTTGATTTTTTTTTTGGTCAGAGACCTTCACACCAGTGGCCTGCTGGAGGTCATTTTGTAAGGCTCTGGCATTGCTCATCCTGTTCCTCCTTGCACAAAGGAGCAGATACCGGTCCTGCTGATGGGTTAAGGACCTTCTACGGCTGTCCAGCTCTCCTAGAGTAACTGCTTGTCTACTGGAATATCCTCCATGCTCTTGACTATTGGGAGACACCGCAAACCACCTGGCAATGGCATGTATTGATGGGTCATCCTGGAGGAGTTGGACTGACTGAGCAGCCTCTGTAGGGTCCAGGTAACGCCTCATGCTACCAGTAGTGACACTGACCCTAGCCAAATGCAAAACTAGTGAAAAGCAGTCAGAAAAGATGCTTAGGGAAAAATGTCAGTGGCATCCACAAGTAAAACAATTCCTGTTTTAGGGATCGTCTCATTGTTGCCCATCTAGTGCACTTATTGTTAATTTCATTAACACCAAAGCATCTGAAACTGATTTACAACCCCCTCTGCTACTTAACTGACCAGATAAGTATCCCAGGAGATTAATTTACTTGATGCTATACTCTGATTAAAAGGTGTTCCTTTAATTTTTTTTGAGCACTGTATTAAGCATTTGTTTCTATGTTTAAGTGAAAACTTTCTTTATTTGCAGGGCACTACGGAGCCAATGGAAACAAGGTTTTTATTGGCAGATAATCTATATTGTAAAGCATCAGTGCCACCTACAGACAAAGTCTGCTTGTGGCTTGGGGTAAGTTTAGACGAAACAAAGGCAAATGTCTTCCAAATGATAAGTATTTAAAACTGTTTGCTTTTTAATATTGTGTTTAAAGGGACAGCTGTTATATTGTATTTTGATATAAACAGTATTGTATAAAACCATATATTCTAGCAAGGTGGTGTTGGTGCTCACCCTCATTTCTATCAGTGTTATCCTAGAACTCAATCCCCTTTCAGAACTACTGTAAAATTTAAGTACATTTGCTTAATTCTACTATAGCTGGATATAGGATTAAAAAAAAGTGACAAACAGCATTAATCCTCTTCAGTGAACTGCAAGGCTTTTAGGAAACCTTGTATCCCATCTCTACCAGCTCCTTTTGTGAAAAGATTGATGTAAGCCTTTATAGAGCCCTTTCTTAAACCGACTACGAATGGGAGGAATGTCTTTATTAGAACCACAGCCTCTGTGTTGTAAAATAATTGCAGCAAAAACAGACCAATCTCCTGTGTTCAAGAGAAGTGTACTGGCAAAAGGTCTATAGTGAATCCAATCTTTGCACCGGCTTTGCTGCCCCTCAAATGGGCCAGGGAAACCCAGAAGAGATGCTGTAAAAACAAGGAACAGAGGACGCACCAGCCTAGAGCATTACGCTTGTGATAGCTTTATTAGTATAAAAAGTGCAGATGCATAATCACAAATGACAGTCAATAAGCACATCAAAGTCCAAAATGTGCTCCAAAGAGCCTGGTCCACTAGACAACTCCCATACGTATGACGTGTTTCGAGGGGAGATCCCCTCTTCCTCAGGCTCTGAGGAAGGGGGAGATCTGCCCTCAAAATGTTAGCCTTTTGGAAAGTTCTCTCACATATGGGACTTGTCTGGTTTGAGGTGTCTTTTTTTTTTTTTATGATGTCATTAACGGTGTGGAAATTTTTGAAAAAACTACTTGTCCAGGGACTAATCTGGTCCCCAGTCTACTTGTCCCCCATGACAATCTGCTTGTCCTGATAAAAAGTTTTAACCAAAACAGTCTTTAAGTTGGAGGTGATATTAGGAATATTTTAAAAAACGAAAGGGGTTTTATGGCGACCTAAACGTTTTAATATTTTTAACATTGCACTGTTTATCTCCTCCTCCGCTCCCTGCTTGTCTCCAGCCCTGCCCCTGCTGACTAGCAGAGAGGGAAGAGACCTTGCAGTGTAATGAGCACTGATTGGCTGCTCCTCAGGAAAGGGGAGTGTCCGGCTTATCCTTTATCCCTTTCGCTGCCAGAGCCATTTTTTGCATTTTTTTTGTACAAGATTAAAAAAAATCATTTTCGGCCTGAAGATGACACACAACCCCCAAACATGATATATTTTCTGGAAGCAAACGCCCTAATAGTGCTAGTTCCAATTTTTTATGTCGCATGATATTACCACAAAATTTCAGTAAAAAATATAAGTTACTTTTAGGGCACAAAGCAATAGATTACCCTATTTTTTTGTAAAATATAAAAGACAAGGTTGCACCGAGTAAATTGATATCCAACATGCATGTCAAACTTTTACATTTGCGTGCACTTGTGAATTGGTGACGAACTTCAGTACCCTATATTTTCTATAGGTGACGCTTTTAATACCCCTTATAGGTCATCAGTATAATATTACAGAGGAGGTCTGGTGCTAGAATTATTGCTTTCATTCTGGCGTGCGCAGTGATATTTAACATGTGTATTGCAATTGACGGTTTCATGTGTAGGCGCCCCAGCATGTGCTTTAATGTTTGTCCCCTATGTGATGATTTTTGGTGACAGGTTCTCTTTGAAACATCCAAGGTCTAAAAGTCCCCGGATGTCTCCCCTGTGCTCCCCTGAATGTAATGCAGTGCACATCGCACCGCATTACATTCTTTCCTGGCCTTAATCTCTGGGAATCTGAATGGGGACCTGGAAGTGACATCATATGTCACTTCCGGGTCAGGACAAGAAGGGGAGCAGACGTGTGGGGGGAGGTTCACGGGGTGGGGGGGGGGGGGGGGGGGGGCGTGTTTGGCAGAGATGCTGGCACTGTGTGGAAGCATTCGGGTGAATGCTTCCACCTGACAGGTGAGCCCACTGCTTGCTGACAGCATGGCTAAAGGTAGAAAAAAAAACTACCTGCCCAGCGCCTGGAACTACATGCCCCAGGTGTCGGGCAATAGGAACTCATCATCCTTGCATTAATTAGTATAAAAAGTGTAGATGTATACTCACAAAGGTAATGTGCTAGTCTGTGGTGGGCCTTTTGTTCCTCGTTTTTATTGTAATATAATTGGACATGTGAAAGTATCTTCCAAAAAATAAACTCCTACATTAAGGGATGTGAGTAATTTGGACTTCAGGCTTAAAGTAGATTTCTGGAGGCATTGTGTGAGATTTAGAAAATGTTATATTTGCTGGAAATGTTGAATTTTGATTTAGAATGTCAAGTTGCAAAATAGCATATGTATTGGTTAGGGGTGCACCAAATTTCAGTGGCCGAAACGTGTTGGCCAATATAAAAAAATAAAAACACTGATACAGGTGCTAAAAAAAAAAAAAAACCCGTCTGCTGCTGCTACGGGCCTCCGCTCAATAGTTCTCAGCCTTACCTGAGAATCCACTGAACGATCCCGGCACTGGGCATAGAGATTGGTGAAGGAAAGATGGCCTCCACTCATCTCTATGCCCTTGGAGGACAGGAGCGATGTCACTTCTGGTTCCGGCGCCTTGCAAACAGGCCCTCCTTCTCTCCCTTTTTTTTTGTTTGTTTTTTTTTTTTTTTTTGTTTGAATGCGTTGATTGTGATAGAAATAAAAGTGATTACATTTTTCTTTTTTTCTTTTTTTTTTCCAAAAGGGTTTTTTTTCCCAAAAATCTGTATTAATTTTTAAAAACTGCCCATTTAGGTTTTTGGCCAAGTGCATTCTGAATTTTCAGTTTCAGCACCAGAACTTTCATTTCGGTGCACCACTAGTATGGGTTATGTTTTGTCAGTTGTGTTTGTTTTTTGTTTATGAACACTGAGTCTTTTCCTAAGTAAAACATTGTAGGGTGTGTCAACAAATGGGATGTGACTGATTCACAGTTGTCAAAATATGAACTATTTGTTTTCTCTTCTGCGAGTCATATCAAGAGGCTTGATAGATGACTGCTTGCTTATAGGAGTTTTCCATCCTTGTCATTTTTTTCTGGAGAGAAATTCCAAAATGTAAACGATGGGTCTAAAGTGAATCAGAAGTGGCAAAAATGTAAACCTTGTTTAAAGTGGTTTTAAACCTCTGACATGAAATATGAACAAAGCATGCCCCTCTATAGATTGTGTTTTGTCTTCAATCCAGAGCATGTAGTGTCATATCTGTCTGCTGCTTCATTCCTCTATCTGCATGAATCCCTTTTTTAACAGGTTTTCCTGATGCCATGATTAGATTAAAAAAAAAAAAAAAAAAGTGATGGGGAGGAAGCTCCAGGACACAGCCTCTGACCGCCTCAGCTCTGTTCTTCGTGCTGTGTGAAGGCGGTGTGACACTTCCCTCCATTTTAGCTCCCACCGAGCTCTGCAGAGTAACTTTGATCTTCAGAAAGCAGCAGGCATGGAGCTAGACAAGCTGTATAAATTCTAGACTTTGCATGGATGTAGAGAAGACTGTAGATAAACAGCTTAGGTAGGAGGATCTGTTTTCATATCTCTCACCTGAGGCTAATCACTTCACTGGGTATATGTAAGTGTTGACAACCACTTTAAGGTGTCTGTTTATGACACAGAGAATAGCTGTGATTCAACGGATCTCAGCTATTCTCTGGTCATTCACAGTTTGACACTCAGGAGATCATGTCAGCCCTTCACTGGAGATCTGTGTTCTTCCTCCAGATTCTCCAGCCCAGAGCTGGAGAATCGGAGGGACCGCAAAATAAGCAGAGATAGTTTACCTCTGCTTAGTAAACTGATCTTTTACTGTAATCTCGCGAGATTATAGTAAAATCAGCCGTTTTCCAGAGTTTGGAGACCGTTCTCCAGCGTTTGGAGACCGTTCTCCCTTCGTTCGGAGAACTGCTTCATAAACTGCATTCACAGGAGAACTGTTCTCCGAGAATGCCGGAGAACTGAGCAGCGATCTATTACTGCTGGTTCATAAAACGGACACCTATGTTTGTAGTTTTAGTAAATATTCTTACAATGTAACTTTGTTTTGCAATTATGTTGTTATGATTTTAATTCCAAGGCCAATGTGATGCTTGAATACGATATTGATGAAGCTCAGGCTTTGCTAGAGAAGAATTTGTCTACAGCCACCAGAAACCTTGAATCCACAGAACATGACCTTGACTTTTTGCGGGACCAGTTTACCACAACAGAAGTCAGTATCCTTTTTGAAGTGATATGTTAAATAATTATTGGTCTTCTCAAAAGTGTTTTTTAATTTGTTTTTACTTGAATAGTAGCCATTATTTTAGTACAATTGTGGATATTGGCTATTTTATGCAGAAAACCATGATAAGGGAAAGGCATTGGTGAACTGAACCTGTCAAAGTAGTTGCGAAGGCTCAAGGTTTTTACTTTCATGCATTCTATGCATGAAGGTAAATAACATTTGGGAGTGAGCCTGGTTGGGTGACTCCATAGCAAGTTGCTTGCTGTGGAGGAACTCAATAGGAGAGAGGGGCCTGGAGGGGGGGACCTGAGAAGTAGAGGATTGGGGCTGCTCGGGGGTGGGGGTTGTTTTTGTGTGTTGTTGTGTTTGGGGTTTTTGTTTTTTGTGTGTGTGGTTTTGTTTTGTGGTGGTTTTTGTTTGTGTTTTTTTTTTTTTTTTTTTTTTTATTGCCCAGTGTTTCATGTTTAATGTGGTTTTCTGCAAACAATCGCCATGGAATAGCAGGTTCTTGCTCATGCACAGTTCAACTGAGTATTTATTTTTTTTTTTCCCCCTCAAGCAGCTCAGGCATGGTTTTTATCCATCCTTTTTGAAGATTCCTTCCTACATGCAATGAATGTTTCTTGCCCCATACAATGTCCCAAAAGATCTATACAAACAAATTGGCCTTATTCTTTTATAACTGAGGTTTGTGTGGCAGTACCTTTTCCTGATAGAAAGAGATAGCTTTAATTACCTGTAAGGAACATAGTTTAACCTCTTAGCGCCGAGCATTTGCGTTCTATTAAAAAAAAAAAAAAAAATGTGCTGAGAGCACGTGCCCTGCGCACTTCCAGCACACACGTTTGGTACTCATGGAAAGGTCCCAATCTCCTCTTTCGATCAGGGCCTTTTCCGATCATGTGACAGCGAATCACAGCGGTCACCTGATCCCAAAACCCTGCCACTCCCCCGGCTTCTGGAACCCTTAAAGGGCCGGGAGGCGCCGGCGCCAAGAGGTTAAACGGTATTTCCACTTTTGCACTAAAAAAACAAACAAAAAAACCTCTTACCTTTTCTAGATGTCCATTTTGGAGCAGATTGCAAGCTACTTTGCGGAACCCTTTTTATTAAATAATACAGAAGCCCAGCTTCAACAACTGAGAGCTGCCAGCACAGTACAGACTGGGTTAATTATGGTAAATATTAACTCCTCGTAGCAAAAGAGAACTTCAGCTTTGGCATTTGGGTGCTTGGTACCCAAAATTGTCCATGGGCAACATTTTAAGTCTTAGAGTCCCACTAATTTAGAGGTAAAGTTGCACTAAACTATATACTTCTCCAAAAATAATCCATACACACGTTCTACTGTATGCCCCGTAATCCAATTTTCATGAAATTGTTTCCTGCTGTGTTTTTCTGTCGCCTTATAACATACTCCCATGAGCTCCCAAATCTCCATTTTCCCCTCAGTTTTGTATGGAAAAAGCAGTGTATGTTAGTTGTGGTCCTGTGCACTGCTCTTTGCACACTACACAAAGTCCATAGTCTAGCTCAGGAAGGAGCAAGAGAGGGTGGCTGTGCTGCTATGTACCGTGGGGCCATGGAGAATGAACGTAGCCATCCTATAACAGGAACGGGGATCACGGCAGCAAGAAAAAAAAATTGGGAGATTTGAAAGGGGCTTAGAACAGAAGGTACTGTATTCTGAGTTAGGTCACTGCATTCTCTGCATTAAGGTGAAAAACCTTCTGTGTCCAGGATTTTTGCAATCCATTAACCATTGAAAATGGATGGTATTTGTGCTCAAAATGTATCTTCTGAATATAATGTAATAGATGTAAGTATGTAGAGCATTTTCTTTCTGAAATATTTTTATGCCATTTTTTTATGCTTGACTAGCTGCCAGCATTTGGAGTGTGTGCACCTGTCTCTAAGGCCTCTTCTACAAAGGCAGCCAGGGGCAGGAAAACAGGCAGTTGTGTGTGTGTGTGTGTGTGTGTGTGTGTGTGTGTGTGTGTGTGTATATATATATATATATATATATAATATATATATATCTAATAATCTTGAACTACATAATAGGTTTGAACTACAGTTTCAGTTGCCTCCATATTATTATTTTGTTTTATTTTTTTTATAAGCTGGTTCCTTAACAAATTCTCCAGATATGGCAAGAGTTTATAACTGGGATGTAAAAAGAAGAAACAAGTCAGATGGTGCAAAAATCAAAGCATAGTTTTAATTATTTCCAAGTAACAGTTGTTTTAGATAAGCCCTCAGCAGACATTTTGAGATGGGATTAGTCTTTTTTTTTTTTTTTCCTCTTAACCGTTGATCTTGAACCACGCACTTTTTTTATTTATTTGTTTAATCCATTTTCATGCATGCCTCAAGGTATACTGGTTTTCAGTAGAAAAGAGCAGAAGCATCTTCCTCTTGCGTCCACCTAAATTAGTACTGGATAAGATTATGTACATGAGCTGCTGGAATGTGTTAACCAGCTAATTGTAGTTCTTTACATGCCATGTCTGTATGCTCCAATAAATCCACGAAGGGCTGATGGTTTTTTTTTTTTTTTTTTTCCTAGCTTTGTCATTTTGCAGGGGATTGAGTAGAACCCATATCTTGCATGGGTTTCCTAGGGCTGAAAAATGGACTCTGTTAGAGTTCTCAAGGACAAAAATGGGGAGAGGGGGTGTTATGTTAATGAACTTGCTTGACTGTGTTGCATGTATGGGGAGTTCAAAATGACCTTTATGGGTTATAAATGTGTGTGTGTGTGTGTGTGTGTGTGTGACCTTTTTTTTTTAAGGGTTGCAAGCTCCAGTACTGTTCTTTCTCCATCCTTCACTACTTGGTGAGCCACTGACCTGAAAAAAACATGTGCATAACAGATGGTAGTAAGTATTCCATGTCTGTAACTAACAATGTAGAGCAAATCTGATGGTCCTGGATCATCCAAAAATACTTGTCCCATGGTTTTTCCTGACAGATGTCCTTTTAAGATGTTTTAAATGCACACTTTTTTATTTTCTACTTTTGTTATATGGATTGTTTATTTTTATAAATGCAGTTCTGTTCACAAGCACTGAATTTTTTTTTAAATTGCTTTTTTACATTTTCATAAGCAACGAAAACAAGCGTACAGCATTAACCTATAAAGAAAATCTACAACATTTAACTTGTACCTTTTTTAAAATTTTCAAGAGTATACAGAGTAGGCATGTAGTATTAAATCTTAGAATTGCCACAAGCACATTCTTTATATCTGATGCCAGCAGCAGAAGGATAAAAAGATGCAGCGTTTCTTATACAAGGCATGCTGCAATATATAGTACTTATCAGTTTGTGAGGTGGGCAGATGTTTACCATGCAGGCTGATCTATCTTTACTTTTGGCAGACAATCACACTTCAGAAAATTGCTTCTGCATAAGTAAAATGCTTCCCCACAACTCTGATGTACTTTTTGAACTTTCTTTTTCTCACAATGTTTGATTTGCTAAACCATGTGTTTTCATTAAAACTGTACATGGTCACATGAAATCATCCCATTATTATGGCTTTGTGTTCTAAAGAACTGGTTTTTATTTTGCATTGTAAAAAAATTAAACTGTTGCCATACAATGTTACCTTTTGGTATTTTACATCAATGTATTTGGAACACCAACTGTTCATAATTGTTAGATTCTCTAGATTTTTATCACCACTGTAGTTTTCACACTTGGTGTTAGTTTTAGGTAGCAGAGCCATATTATCACTGCAGTGATTGTACCAGATGAACACAAAACAAATTTTGGCAGTTTGAATTTGGTGTTCCTCCTTTTAACTTGTGTTTAGTAAATAAAACCTGTAAACTGTCTGCTGTGGCAATTGTCTCCACTTTTTTAGATCCAATGTTAATAAATCACCTGTTAGAATGTCCACTAAAAGCTGTTGATCATAAGAGTTTAAAGAACCTCATCTCATCCAATAGTCTTTTTTGTTAGTATAGACTGACAGCTCTTAGTGCTTGTAAAATCCATGTAGCTCTAGAGAACTTGGTAAGTTCAGGTACAGTAGTCAAAACATTAGCAAAGCCGTTTCCTAACACCCCCCCCAAACAAAAACAAAAGACTTTGTACATGTTTCACTCCTGTGGCATAGCCTGTAGAGTTTTGCATGAAATTCTTGTGAGTGTGTGCATATTGCAGAAGCAGCTAAAAATCAGTTTTATGATGGGAACTATGGCAGAATGTGGTAGTACAGAGGACGTTTATGGACTGGTCCGTGTGTACCTTTTTTGATTTGGCACCTGTGCAGTCCTTGGTGTGATTTGACCAGGATTTCAGGCACTACTGCTCCTGCGTGTGCCTCCTTTCGATGGCCTCATTGCATATGCCATTTTTCTGAGATGTGCACAGACCATGTTTCCTTCTTGCCATCTCTTCATCTTTGCATCCTCTGTAATTATCTGGAATACACCTGGACTCTCTGCTAGTTTACAGTGAATTGGTCACAAATGACATTAACCCTTCCTTCTCCAGAAGCAATTTGTGAGTACCCCTTGTAGTCAATTCCTCACTTTTTTTTTTTTTTTTTATGCCTAGTATAATCATAAGTGCAAACGCAGAAGTCTTTAGGGGATTTGCCAACTTGTGATCCTCTGGTGTGTGTATGTCTGAGGAGAGGGAGGGGGCTACAGCGTTTTTTTCCTAAGGGTCCTGACACCTATAGCCTAGACCCCTCCCCCAGTCTTCCTTCAACCTTTCAGGAGTAGCTTCCTCTGTTTTTATCTGGGAAGCAATTATCTGCTACTCTTTCTGAGCTTACGTTTCAAGACCCTGGGGATAAAAGGCTGGTGCCCGTCTAAGGCCCTATTCTCCCTTCCAGTCCCTGCCCTTTTAACCTAATATTGCTGTCATGTCTAGCTGCTAGACCTTTTGAACGATCTATCTTTGGATCCCAGAATTATTCTACCAGATTCCTCTCCGTTCCAACAACTGAAACTCTTGCTGTGACTTTGTGTTGACAGGCTAATGGTTATTATAGGCCAAATAACTAAAATTGACTTCCTTTATGTACACATGCAGATGACTCTTGAAAAATGCATGGAACAACTTTATCAAAGTCAAAAGCTGACGAATACCCTTTCTCCCCAGAAAGGAAGGGAAACCTTTCATTTGAGACTAGGCAAAGCTTGTTTTGTTTCTCTCAGGCCTCCAAGCCAAAGCCTGGAACTCCATTCTGCCATAGGTCTTGGTCCTCCAGATCCTCCATCCCTGAACAAGTCCTCCCTCAAAATGAGGGGGTACCCAGATTTGTCAGTGTGGTGCTGTCTGTTGACCTTTGCAGCTATTCCCAGGGAATTTTCAGATGGTTTTTGGTACAACGTTGTCATATGTGCCTGTATCATTGTGAAGACTGAGGGGCCTCCACACTTTAGCTTAGCTCCTCTTAATGGGTAAGCCATTGTCCTGGAAAAGGAAAGAATCCTGGGTTTTTATTGAAACCTTTTCACCATCCTCCAAAACTAATCCCGAGGTGCTCTACACTTTGGTTACAAAAAGTCTGCATTGAGACTGCCAGTTTTTTTTTGCTTCCCCTCCATCTTTGATACCTTCTAGCCTCTGTGGACATCAAGGATGCCTGCTTGTAGGTCACCATATTCCTGGGCACAGCACTACCTGCATTTTAGCAGTAGACATGCAGCATTAACTATGTGTTGCCCTTAACCTTTAGTCCATTATACCTCAGGTCTTCACCAAGGTGTTAGTCTCTGTTCTTGCTCTGCTTTGCTCTCAGGCAATTTCCATTGTGGGATAGCTGGATGACCATCTTCTGAGAGAACAGTTGGCACAGGCTACATCCTACAGGCTGTCCAGACCCCACAGTTTAGGTGTGTCCTAACTCTCCACAAGGCAGTCTCGTCACTTGACGTAGCTTGGCCTCATCCTGGATACAGCCATGTCCAGAGGACAATTTCTGGTATTTCTACCCCCATGCTTGGACTTGCACAGTTCAGGAGCCAGTCAACTCAGCGCTTTTGTATGAGGGTTCTGGGCTTGATGTTGGCCTCCTTTTTTAGTAGTTCTATATGCCCAGCTTCATTCCAGACTGGTTGCAACCTAACATTCTGGTAGTGTGCAATAAATATGTTCAGTCTGTGGAATGTTGTATACTTCGGACCCACAAATACAGGCTTGCCCTGGTGGATCAGCATTTGGAGCTTGGGGGGAGGTATTCTTCTCCCACTGGAAGGTTCTCACAATGGAGTCATGTTGGGATGGTGTCCTTTGTGCTCTTTCTGATGCTAGGGTCACTTGAGGAAGCTAGTCTCTTGATTTTGTTATCCTGGAATTTTCAGCGATTTTGGGTTTTTTCCCTTCCAACACTGGATCTCCCAGCTGTGAGGTGTTAAATGAATTTTCAGTTGGACAATGCCATGACAGGATTACATAAACTACAACTATCAGAAAAGAACCAGAGATCTCACTGTTCAGAGAAGCATATCAAATTCTTGCTTGGGCAGAACGTGGTGTTCCAGCCCTGTCTGCTGTGCGCATCTTGGATGTGAAATGTCTGGACTCCAGTGAAAGGTCTCTTCACCTAAATGTGTTTCAAGACCTCTGTTGGAGGAGAGGGACACTGCCTGTGGAATTTCTGGCTTCCAGGTTCAATAAGAAACTGAGCTGGTTTGTCTCCAGGTTCAGGAATCCTTTAGCTTTCACAGTGGATCTTCCTGGTGCCCATATAGGTAAGGTTCACCCTGATCTTTTCTGTGCCATTTTTTTTTTTTTTTTTTTTTTCTCGCTTGCTCCTCTGTAAAGATATGGAGAGCTTTATTATACCGGATTAGTTCCAATAGTTTCATAGTGCATTGCAACATGAGGGCAGACAGGGAAGGGGCACAAGGGGGAGAAAAATGAGCTCAGTTTTTGATTGTGTTTCATCAAGTGGTGTGCCATCCAGCCAGGTATATGTTAGTAAATTTAGACCAAGGAAGGCTTTTTAAGTATGGGAGGGACTAGTGCATGCTTTCGAGTCAGGGAAGATGCCAAAAGCGAGGGAGAGATTAAAGCTGTGATTTAGAGAGTGACAGATACAGCTAGAAGGTGACCACACTGTTTGACAGGGAATAGGGTCTAGTGGTTTGGTGGGTGTCAGAAAAAAAGTTTAGCAACCTTGTCTATAGTTGCAGGGTTAAATGAGGGAAGTATTGTGTGTACCTGTGGGGCTGATATCTGTACAGTGGAGAT